AGCCTCTTCCCCATGTCCATGGTCTTTGAGAGGGAATTTGAAAGAAAGCCTTGCTGCTGTGTGAGCACAGCTTGGCAGCAGCAAAACATTGGCGTGTTATCAACACCATGCCAGCTACAAATACAAAGCACAGCACTAGGGGGGCTGCTATGGGGAACAATAACTCCTCCCAAGCAAGACCCAGTACAGCCATGCAGAGAAGACAGGTTGAGTGAGAACTGCAGGTGACATCACACTGGACTGGAAGGGGAAATCAACTTTTTCCTCAGACTTAAACCAACTGCCATCTCTGTGAAGGCTGTGAGAAACACCAGTTTCCTAGTGTGACATGCAAGATGGGGCTTGGTGTGAACTCTGCCTTGGATTTCACAAGAGTGTGTGCTCAAGACAGCCTCAGACAAACATTCCTGGCTGTGTGGAAAATGTTAGTATCCTAGAGAGAGTCCTCAAGAGTGCTCTTCAGGCTCAGTGTATTATGTATCACAAAATACTTATATCTGCATGATCTGAAAGATAATAGCTACTGCACCTGGAGAGGAAACCTGTTTGTCTTGTCTTTCTGGGGGCAGATTCCTGTGTGATTTTCTCAGTGCATTTCCCATACCTCTGTGAAAATGTAAGCCGTGCACTCACCCGGGCTGGCACCTCTCGAGTCAAAGTGATTGTCAGGTCTCAGACCTTTGTGGAGACACCAAAACTATTGGAGTTTGTTGCTCTCTGACTCCTTTATGGCAAATTAGAAGGAACTAGGCACTGAGGAGATGCTATTCTTCTCAGTGTTCTTTAGGTATTACAGGATAGGAAGAGTTGCATCCAGGACCCGTTTGTCTCTACTAACTACATGTCCATTGAACAAAATGTGCTTCCTCAGATGTAGCTCCCTACATGGTAGAGATCTGTAGGTTGTTTTAGGACAGGCCTAGCAACATGTGGAGGCACCCTTATGTCTTCCTGGCCATGTTGGACCAGATGAAGTGCAGTTACTCACAGCTCAAAAATTCTGCCAGATTCTGCTTGGATCTGCCTGTGCCATTCAGCAGTTTCTACACAAAATGACAGGTGTTTCTCCTACTCCTTAGTCAGATACTCGTGTTCCTTGAGTTATCTCACACTCCAGGAAGAAGAGTTCCGCGAATAACTGAGAAAATCTTATTTAATTCATCACACAACAAATCCAAGTTTTCTTGCTGACTTAGCAATATCTGCTGTTGTGTCAACAGAGGGCCGGCCAGGTCATTTCTGTGAGATATTTTTGGTCATTGACAAACACTTTGATCCAGCAAATTTACAGTGGTCTGATAAAAGTCCTCAGCTGGTGTTTATCACACTGATTTACACTAGCTGAATACCTGCCCTGCTGTGCCTCCCAAATCAATACAGATTTATTTCGTGTGCGGTTCCTTTCTTGTTTTAGGAGCAAAACAACAAAAAATCCCACATCCCACGCTATCACATAAAAATGAGCACAGGACACACAAAATAAGCTCTCAAAAAGGAGACATTGTTTCTTGGGAGAAAATGGAAACTCTTCTGAGTGAGAACATTATAGCCTATGGCACTGTCATGTAACTGCACTTTTATAATGGACACAATATAATGAGTGCTGTTGCTGAAAGCTGGTTATTATATCCTAGCTGGAGGTCATACTTTGGCATATATAGAGCTGGTAATTTGTACATAGTGGGAGTTCTGCTGCTCTTCTGGTTTTCTTAGATTATGTCTATTTCGTAAGATATCTGCATATTGAAGCTCACATTTCTCCCCAAACTACCCTATCACCCACAATTGAGAGATGAGCATTTGAAGCTCAGTTTCAGCCCAAACCCTTAAGCAGTACTGATGTCAAAGCTCTTTCCTTGCTCAGTTTGTAGTGGCGTTGGTATGACTCTGAGGGTGTTGTTACTGAACTTCAATGCAAGCAGTCCCTCCTCTGATCTCCCTTTTGAACTATTCTGGCTCTGTATGATGTTGGACATTGGGTTTTCCTGATGCACGTTTTTTTTTCCATGGATTGGACTTTAAGAAAAAGCTGTTAGTGAGTTAGTCAGTCCTTCAGTGAGTAGAAGGGTTTGGTCAGTTTGATGCCAGTGATCAGCTGGAGTGCATGGAGCCTCTGATCAAGAGCTTATGGGTCAGAATTAAAGGGAGGACAGGGACAGGTGATGTTACAGTGGGGGTCTGCTACAGACCACCTGACCAGGAGGACCAAGCAGGTGAGGCCCTCTAAAGACAGAAGCAGCTTCAAGTTCACAAGCCTTGGTCCTCATGGGGGGCTTCAACCCTTCCAATATCTGTTGGAAGGACAACACGGAAGGACAACACAGAAGGACACCTACTTCAGCAGCATATTAATGCCTCTCTGGCATGCACCTTGGTCCTGGGGGATGCTGCTTTTGTGTTTGTCATGCAGTAAGAATTCTAGCTGGTGGAGTGATCATTGAAACAAAACAACTTCTGCTGGCAGCTCTGACTGTGCTCATCTCTTTTGTATGTCTTTGGGAGCTCAGTAAAACCTCCAGGGTTTTTGTTTGGAAACTTTACATTGTTGGCTGTTGAACTATGAGAGAAGAGAAAATAGCAACTATGCCAGAAGTTCTACTGAAGTATAAAAAATCCAACAAGCAATCTAAAATGGCTAATAAAATAGTGACCAGTGCCCAGAACTACAAGCACGAAATGTTACATTGGAACTTAATCTAGTGAATAAAGCAACCCTTGTCCATACATAAAATTAATTAGGCACAAAATACTCTGTACAGGCAAGCAGTCCCCATTATCCCTGAGGCTTTATTCTTTTAAGTAAACAGCAACAGAACCAACTCATTAAAATGTGTTTTTTTTCAGTAAAGCATATTCTACAGAATTTTGCTCAATCACATAACAGGTTCCTTAGGTTACTTATTAAAATGACTGATGTGTTATGGATGAGAAGGCATCTTGCACCTGTGTTGTCCTTAATGTGTCCTGATTTGGAGCTTGGAAGGGGAATAGAGACATTTTCTTGATGTGCCCTTTACTGTTCTGGGTCTGCTCCAGAAGAAGCTGCTGACTGTTACCCCCACCAGTTGTCTCAGAGAACAAGAAGCTGCACACCTCCACACAGCAGTAGGAATACTAGCAACCAAAGTTGTAGCGTCTGTTTTCCTTCATACTATCACCATATGGCAAAGCTAAGAGTAGGTCTCAAGTGTAAATCAGTGAATGGACCATAAAGGCTTAACTCACCAGAATTGTACTCCTATTTGCTTTCCTCCTATGGACCTGCTTCTTCTTCAAGCATGGTCTCTATCCCTCCTTCACAGAAACAGTCTTTGTGTCCTCTGCATCTCTTCTCTCTGTCAGTGTTATTTCCTTCCCTTGCTAAGTCCCTAAGTTGGTCAAACAATACATCTAGGTTGGTCAAGCAATGCATGTTGCACCTCTCCTTGGTTGGTTCATCATGTCACTTTACATGCCATGGGTCACATAGAACCCAAAATGAGGGCAAACACATTTGCAGCTGCCCACTCTCTGACTATGGTAAGGTAGGGTATTTGTTGATTCCCCTGAAGCAGAGAGGGCAGACAGAAATAATTTGCAGTCAAGTCTTTACATGGAAATAACATTACAGACTACACAAAAACGTAACAGCACCTCTGCATGAGGGTACTCTATGCAGTTGTGTTTAAAGATATCCCCACTAGCACTGCAACAAGCTTAGCTACCAAAAAGTCAAGTTCTCAGCAACTTTCTTTGCTAATAAGAAGCCCCACCAAACCCACAGGAGCAGGGTCCTTGGAAGTGCTTTCATTGTGCATCTTGCACACAATATTTTGTCGTCTGCTTCTGGGAGGAAAGCTGTGGGCAAGCAAGTCTCATCCAAAGCCTGCATACAGGCTTTGGATGCAATGAATTATGCATTGCTGATACCCCAAACAGACATCACTTTAAAGCTAGTAGTTCTTTCTGACATAGTCTTGACGCTGCTATATCTTGGAAACATTCAAAGTACATGGAAAGAAACACGGGAAGTAGGAGGTGGAACATTCACAGGAGCCAAGAGGTCATGTAGCAAAGACAGTTTCACTTTGCCTCCAACCCACAGGGTCTCATGTCAAGGAAAGTTCGTGCTGTTACTCTTTGGTCCTGTGGCACCAGAAGGACAAGGGACAAGGCAAAGGTACCTGGAAGAGCAAAAATGTCTCCACTCTGGAGAGTGGGCATTGAAGGCAGCATGGCCAGCAAGCTGCTTTGCACAAGTGTAGCTCCTGAGAGCTGTTCTAGTGCTCCAGCTCTTCCCAGGGTGCCCTAAAAATGCCTGGATTAGAATGGAAATAGTAGTCAATAAATGCAGCTTTGAAGTAACCAAGTAGTGAAGTCTATGTGCATCCGGTAATTCTCCAGTGCACAGAGAAATAACGTTCCCAGGCTTTTTTGCCTTTTTTTTTTTTTCTCTAAGGAGGTTGTTATTTAGAGAGAGTGCAAATGAGCAATAAGTTCCTCCTTGGGATTTCTATATGCCAAAAAAAAAAAAAGTGCACAATACAGACAATTATCAAAGAAAACACGGCATTGCCCTGTGCAAACATGCTCCACATCCCACTTATCTTCAAGGCCAGGCACAGTGACAGATTAAGCACAAAGGGTTTTGTACTTCTGCGTGGTGTGGGTGCTGCCTCCTAAAATAGCTTGAAGCTCTTGCAAGATGGGCTGTTCCCAGCAGACAGTGACAGGAGCAGCAGGTCTCAGCTGTGCTGTGTGCAGCCTGCCCCGTGGCGTGGGGCAGAGGCAGATGGAAATCTTCAGAGACTCTTTTTTATTTGCTGGTCTTCTTTTCTGATAGTCCAGACAAATATTTAGGGACCCTGTTCAAAGGACGGTGTAAAGGCTGCAAAGCAGCTGAGGGGAGCACTGCCCCAGGGAAGGATGAAGGAGGCAGTAATGTGGCCAACTGATAAGATGTCAGGGTGTATGTTCTGCCAAGACACGTATATCATAGTGGCCATCTGCCTCCAGGAGGGCACAGCCACTGTGTTAATGCTACTCTTGGGCTGCACTTTTCTGTAACGGTTGGATCAGTTCACCATGATTACCAACATCTTAATGAGCAGACTGAAGCACAAGGAGGCTGCTCTGCTGACAGACAGGTCAGTGGTCAGGCAGAGGGCTCCATTTAGAACCAAGTCTGTTGGCTGTGGGAAAAGAAACTTTTTCATCCTTAATGTGCTGGGATGGCTGAATTGAAAACACTTTTTCCAGGTGAAACTCATTTTCATTCCAAAGCAGCAAGCAAGGCAATATTTGGTGTTAAAAAGGAGAATTTAGTTGATTTTGAATGTCTTGTTTCCAAAAACCAAAATCAATTTGTTCATATTTTGACATCACATTTATTTCATTTTAATAATTCTTTATAATTTTTAAAAGAAATGGAAGTACTGCACACCTATGAAACTCTCTATTTTTTTCTACTGGCCTCGTCCAATCTAATAAAGAACATTACTTCCCCCTACAAATCATGTTTTGTTATAAAATGAAATAAGTTTCAAAAACAAAAAAAAAAGCCATTTCAACCCTTGGAATGCTTTGTTCTGCTAAGATCAAGCTGCTGAACTGTGCATTTTTTATTTGAAACATTTTTATTTTCTATCTTTTTGTGTAACAAAATATTAATGAATTATTTCCTTTTCTTTTCTGGCTCAGCAATGAGACATTTTCCAGCACAAAAATATTTTTGACTCAGCTCTTCTTAAAACCCCATCAATTATTATAATTGCCTCAGTGCTTCCTAAGGGCGTTTAATCAGTGGTAAACTGGACAGAGGCTGAGAAATATAATTTAGTAGTTATCCAGATTTCTAGAGTCCTTCACTAAATGTTCTAAAGGATCTGTTTCTAGAAAATTTGAAAAACCACTCCACTAAAGCAAAGGAGTAAGTCTGTAATTATTCATGAGACAAATGTAATGGGTGTTTGTAGAACAGCCCACATACCAAAGCATGGTACAGGCAGTAGACCCAGGAGCTCCATGTTAACTCCAAGTACCTGAAGTATGAGTGGAAGAATTTAAGAAGCTGCTCTCCATCTCATTAGTGCTTTGGGTCAGTATTTCAGTTACTGCTTCTGCAGTTTACCCAGATCAGCACTTTCCTGAGGCAATAGGTGGCAAACTGGCACTAGTGCCCTGTGTTTCTTCACTTCAGAATAGCCTCGCCATGCATTTCATAATGTTCCTGTGCTGTGCTCCTCTTTCTGTCATCGTCAGTGATGCTGAAGCAGAATAATCTCTATTTGTTACTGGAGAAAACTGATTGAGGGCTAAACCAACACAGGAAAAAATAAGTTCCATGTCTATCAAGAGCTCATTATTGCAAAAATAAGATATTAATAGTTTGTTTCCACTGGAAAAAACAGAAAGGAAATGTCAATAACATTTACCAGTATGAATACTCTCAGAATTGCTGCACATTTAATTACTGCTTTGAATTTAAAAGTCTTTGAATTTAAAATTTCTCTCTCTCTCAGCAAACACAGTCCATTCAACCAGGAACTGAGTTTCTCTCTCATCAGAAGCAACACGAAAGTTCTCAGAACCGCCCTCATGGGGAGCAATCTCAAATATTTGTGAGGTAAAAAAACATTCTGGGGTGATGTCTTAACTGGGTTTTGGGCTGCTGGATTCTGCTTCCTGCCTGAGGATTTCAGCTTTCCCTTCCTTGCTAGCAAGCCCTGCTCCTGTCATCTACTCTAGCTTGACCATTCGCCGCCGTTTCTTCCACCCTCTGCAGATTGGCGAGGACAACCCTGTTCCCAGGAGCGACTGCAGAGGTGGCGAGGAGGCTAGAGCATGGGCATTGCTAACCCTCTCCATTGAAACTTGTTGAATGGCAGCTGCAGAGTCACCCCTGCAACTCTTTCTTGGGAACTCCTTTATCATTTATCTTCTCCACATTCTCTGACTTCAGACACATATCCCTAAAAAAACACACTGATTTTCCTCTGAAACAGGATACTGTTTGCAATACCTACTGGATTTGTGTGAGCTGATGGGACCAACAAGATAGGGACCTGCAGTACAGCTTACACTCCAGAAAACCTCCAGAAAACACCATATTTAGTTGAATACACCTGTCTACATATACACATTGGGAGTAAACATGGGAGGTGAATCTATGAGAAAACTCAGAGGAACACTATCAAGATACACTTTTGTACCTTAATAGCAGCCTGTACAGGGTATGGTAGCATTTTGCTAATTAAATGTTGTCAACACCATCTCTGAAATCACACTAGAAGCATCTTATAGCATGGCTGTAGCCATAGGCTGCGACTCGTCCTGTTATTAGTGAAGATAACTAGGACAAAACAAACTTGTCATAGCTTTTCTTGAGTTTTGTTCCTTTTCTGCAGCGCAAGGTAGAGGCTACATTTTCCAGCCCATAGTCTCCAGGAGATTTTCATCTACTTATGCATGACTACTTCAGGATTTTGAGCCATTAAGTCATTCATTTTTTTCTGAGTTTCATTAAACAATATGACACAAACTGTGCACAGAAAACCGCTTCATTTGCTAACCATTAATTCTTCCAAGCATTAAAATAGCACCTGATCAGCTTCTCTTGCAGCACCGTTAGCTTGCCTTGATAATGTTTCAACATCAAAATTTGTTCTAGATAGTATGTAGAAAACTATGTATGTATATAGTTCTTTGTCCCTCCAGGGATATGACAGACCAAAAGAGAGATAAAGGCAATATCTATAAATCCTGAAAGGTCTACAGAAAGTGAACAGGAACCAGTTTGTTCAGGTGGTTGTTGGTGTTGCTTTTTTAAGAAAAAACTGGATTACATCAAATAACACCATGGAGAGACAGAGTAAAAGCACATAAAAAAGTAACTACTACTTCACATGGCATATATCTACGCTGAGGAGCTCCGTTTTGTAGCTGAATTTTATAACTGATACAGCCCAGGCAACTACATGTTTCCACTCAAAAGAATCTGTGCTGTTATTGACATTGTGTTTGCACTGAATGCAAGTTTCAAGTGCTTTTTTCTTCTTCTGCCCAAAGGAGACAAAGTAAAATTCCTCTCCTTCATCCTGAAATCCCCGATGGGATTTCCTGAGGACTCAGTAGACACAATATGTGGCTTCCACAGTTCCTAACACCTTGGCAGAAATGCACATTTCCTCTTTGTCATCCTAGCTACAGTTCAGTGTCTTTGGGGAGAATGGGTGAGTAAATCATTGTTTCAGGAGACTGTGGTCTGGCAGGTGCCACAAATCCTAGGACAACCCTGTGCAACCTGTAGGTGGTTGAAAACGCCTGTTGATTCACCGGGTGGAGAAAATGGTGCTGGGACACTTTATGCAAGGGAAATGCCTGACAGAAGGTGGCTCCCATTTAATAGAAAGAGTCACACAAAACAACTGACTCTGCACAACCTCGGTTAAAAATATCCATGTGCCGATGTCAGCTTCCTTTTATTTTTTTCTTAGAATAGCAGTAATGACCTTGGCACAAAGCACTGCCTAGAGACAAATGACCAGCTGGGATTAATGATCCTTGACTTAATTTCTGCCCATCAGCGCCTCCCAGACAGTCATTAATCCTGCTGAAATGCTCTGTGCATTGATTATTATTGATTCATTCATTGATTGTGTCCAGGGTCTGAAGTTAGAAGCTGAAATTGTGAAGGCACCCTGGAGACTCTTCTAATAAGATGAGTTTGCTTAATTCATAGACTATTTGAGGTGCTTTAGAGAGAAGCATCATAAAAAGAGGTAGAAAAGGCAAAGAGCACTTATAGGACAATGAGACCTGGACTCGTCTGGCTATTAGAGTTGATGGCATGTATCAAATTACTTGGAATAATCCTGGTATTTAAAGCAGGAGTACAGAGGAATCTGCCATGTATTCTATATGTCACTTCCCAAGGGACAACAAGATTCCAAGCAAGAAAGCCCATCAGATAACCCATGCCTAGGGCGGAGAAGGCATTTGTGGGGTTAATGTCCCACCTCTCTTATTTGAGACATGACTGTTTTCTTTGCCTTCATAAACACATCTATTCTCTTTTTCTGCAGATTACCTGGATGTGTTTAGTTCCTTTTCCCCTTGCACTTGTTGCTGTCTGACCTCGTCCATTCTGCCAGGAGCTGCATCTGAATAATTAATGTAGCACCCTTTAGGAAATCAGATTAATTGTTTTTAATACCTGCTTTAAGAAAGGATTTTCAAATTGCAAAAGAGAGGAAAAACGGTTTAAAAGATGATATGGTTTAATAACCTACCACCTCCATCTTTTCAAGTTGTCCTCCTGGGAATCAATGTAAAGGATAAATTGAAGTGAACAGCAGCATCTTTGGGTGAGCTCTTTCATGTCTTTTGATGTCCTGGTATGCATCAAATGGCAGGAGTGTACATGAAAAGGAAAAGTTGTGGTTGAAAGTGTTCCCAAATACACATTGCTGAGGTTCTCCCAAAGTGCTGACAGCTGCCAAGCACTCTATGGTGCTGCAAACACTATTGGACAAGTTGTCCTGCTTCTGAAGAATGTGGGTAGATTTTCCATAACAAAAAAGAAATAGGGTAGTGCTGGCTGAGGAATTGCTTCAGGTTCCTGATTTGCCAAGCAGTTATTATAAATAAGCCCCCATCTTATTCATTACTTGACCAACACAAGGAAGATGTTTTGAGGTCATTTGAGGTCATAAAGGGCAGAGAGTTCTGTTTCCTGCTTATCTTTGCCATCTATTTATTGTTGACCCTGTTTAAATCTTATGTTTTCTATTTCACATACCTTACCATTAAAATATGATTACTGTTTTCTTTTTCCACAGGACACTTACACATTTGAATGTTGCAGAGTGTACCGAGGTCTTTGCGTAGGAAAGGTCTCCTACTATTTTGTTCTGTGTTATTGTGAATGAGCAATAAAAGAGCTTGGTGAGATTAACTGTCTCCAAGCTATAAAACTAAACCATTTATTCAGAAAAAATCAAAGTCACATAATCTGTCTCTTATAAAAAGAACTTTTTGTGTGGGAGAACAAAAAACGGACTTGAGAAAGTTGTGATCTCTATGAGTTTGAGGTCAGTTCTCTAGAACTTTTGCGTTTTTTTGAAACCATGGTTCTATAATAAAAACTGTGATGTTTTAGTGATACCGTGGGTACCCATATAAATACATTCATCAAGGCTCATTAGGGTCATCCTCTGTCAATGGAGAGCAATAAGAATTTTCAGGATGTAATTTAGTGAATCCGTTTTATGCATCCACCTTAAGATGAGGTAACACCTAAGATCCACTGCTTTCTTTTCTTTTAACTCTAATGGGAGCCTGGGCCATCTAGGTCACTAATGTTATTTTAAACACCTGCACTTAGGTAGATGAAGCTCATAGCTAATGTATGTCAAACAGCACCAAGACATCCACAGTCTAACGATTACGAGATGAATCAACATAACAGGGGTGCCAAATAGAAACTGCGTCCAGATTGTCTTCTAGAGCAGATCACTATCAATTCAGCTTCTTATCCCTCCGCTGTTTATATATCAAGGAGTGTCCAATTAGCTTGCTGGCCTTGAACCTAGGTTTTCAGTCTCTTGGATGAGTTTTGTAATCAGTGAGCTATCGGATAAAGGAAGATGAACTTCATTTTGTCCTGCATTTTAGGAAAAATGTGCAGAGTGGCTGCAGTGGTTTCTTGGTAATGTTGATCCCTGGGAGTACCTCCCTGAAGCCCTAAGTTAAACACTTTGATCTGGAGAACTATGACTCATATGGTCATGTCCTCCTGGATAAATTGAGCATCCTTTCAGCTAGATTTTGTGGATCTCACTCTAAGATGTTTGACTATTCCTAACCTGCAACAAGAGCCTACTGGAGTCATATGAATTCCATGAGGTGGAGGACACATAAAAATTAAGTGCTGCCATGGCAAGCTATGCAAAATCTACAGCTTTATGTTTTTAGCCTTGCTTGTTTATCTCTTGATACAGAAAGAAAGCCTTGCTATCTCCTTGCAGTGAACACTTTATCTCTGTGTGTTTTGTTAAACTCTTTTCCTCAGTGGCACGGGATTGAATCCATCTGGGCAAATACCAAAAAGGCAGGAGATGTCCATGCACAAACATTATGGAATGTAATCCATGCTTTGTGACCACCTACTTTCTTCCATTCAACTGAATCTACTGAACTATGTGTGGCCATTTCCCTTGCTTCTGGAATACTGCCTCTGATAATGTAAAAAGCAATGTAACTTGGCCATCCTCTGGAATCTCCACTGGAGACTACTCTCTCCTTTCAGATATTCAGATAGTTTGCTTTTCTCAGTACTGTTTTGTTCCCAGTTTTGTTTTTTTTAATTGCTGGAAGGTTTTGATAGCCTGCACAGTCCTGGGCATCAGTGGCAAAAGCAAAGTGTTCCTGCCAGTGCCATCCTGAGCAGTGAGCTGCCACATCTTATACTCATTTCCTGTGTCTGTAAATCTATAAAGCTGTGAGATTCCAAAAGTAAACAAATGTAATCTTTTTAGGAAGATGGAATACATTGGCAGGTAAATCTTAATGATAATTGCCTCTAATTAACACTCCCACCAGATGACGAATCTTTTAGTCACAGTA